GCTCATCTTGTGGTAGATCTTCTCGTCGTCCCGCCGCTCAGCCTGGGGCACGGTGATGTTGGCTAGCTGGGTTTCAAAGTCCAGCACCTGCTGCATCTGGAGGCGGGTGGGCTCTGGGGTGCCCCCCAGCAGTGTGCCCAGCTCCACCATGTAGTCCAGGTACGCTGCCAGAACCTGTGGAACCCCAAGCCCTGCCTCAGTGCCAAGCACAGCTCATCCCATCTCCCTGGGGTGGGCACCCAACAGGCAGGATGGAGATGCCAGGTGTGTCCCAGTGCTGCTGGCACCGCGGTGCCATGGGTTTGCCCTGATTGCTGTTGGCAGCATGCCCAGCAGCCAGCCTCACCCTCTCGTTGGCAGTCTTGTTCAGATAGTAATCCCGGGATGGGAGGAAGAGCCCTGACTGGTCCACCTGTGGGGAGAGAGGGGTAGCATAGACATTCTGGTGTCCCCTGGTGTCTGCCACCCCTGGGAGCCAAGGTGCCAACCTGGATGATGTTGCTGTTGGAGCTCTTGGAGTCTGCACCCACATACACTGTGAAGAAGGGGGTTGCCCGATATGTGCCTGACACGCTCTTGAGGACCTCCATGAAGCTGGTTTGGTTCCAGGAGCCAGTGATGTTCCATCCCCCAATCTGCCAGCAGACAGAGCCGGCACCTCAGGGAGGGATGGGGTGCATCCCCGAGGTTACTCCCTGTCTGGTTACGTGAAGAGCTAAGCAGGAGGTGTGCTGGGCTGAGCCCTGGCAGCTCAGCTCAGGTGTGGGTGTGTGCCCACCTTGTCGATGAGCTCCATAAGGGGCTGGGAGCCCAGCTCTTCTATCCTCTGCTCCTTGAGGCAGGACAGGTAGTACCGCTGCGTCTTCCGCTCTGCCTCGCTGCTGGAGTTGAAGGTGGTGTTTTCTGCGGGAGGCTGTGGGTCAGCCCCAGTGACACAGGGGTCACCCCCTCAGTGTCTGCGACCCCTGGGTGCCCACCTAGGAGATGCTTCATGATGGCCTGGTTCTGGTCCCAGATGCTGTTGAAAGTGCTCCACTTGGAGCGCCCGTTGGGCAGCGGGTTCCTCTTAATCCAGCCCCCACACGAGTACTGGTAGAAGTCCTGGCACGGGTCCGTCTCTGTATCCAGGGCCTCCAGGATCTTGCTGGCCACCCGGACACAGGCATCCGTCAGGCACGTGCTGTGAGAGGGATCTGGCAGGGAAGGCATGCCTGGGGCTGGGCGAGTGTACTGGGGGAAACCGAGGCACGGAGTGGGGCCAAGCCCTGTCTGTACCCCAGGATGGGCAGAGCACCTGGAGCAGATACCCTGGGCTGACCCATCACTCCTCATCCTCCCGGGTGTGGGGACACAGCTGCCAAGTCTCCCTACCTCTGCGGTACTGAATGGCCAGAGTGACGACGGCGACGCTGAGCAGCAGGGCCAGGGAGACGGCAACGGCGCAGAGCACCAGCTCCAGCTGGCTGCGCGAGGCCAGGCGGCTCAGCAGCGTCCCCGGTCCCTTCCGGAACCCCACCTAGGCAGGAGGAGCAGGAGCTGCCATCGCACCGTGGGGGGCCGAGCATCACTGCCCCCCTTCCCTCCCGCCACTCCCCAGTGCCTGGCGGGGCTGCATGAGGACGTGGGGACCAGGGCATCCCTGCCCACCAGCCCTGGCGAGCCGGTGGTGGGTGCTGGCAGCGCCCCCAAGCCACAAGGAAGGACCAGGCACGCCCTGTGCCGCATTTTGGCTGACTCCCAGCACATCCCTGGGGACAGCCATGTCTGGCTTGGCTCCCAACCCTGCTCCCAGTGCCCACTTGGTTGCAGGCAGGCCCTGGGGTGAGGATGGGGGCTAGAGGGGATGGAGATGGGAAGGATGGAGGAGCCGGGGCACAGCTCACCTCCACGCTGTCGGGAGAGGTGCTGCCATCCCCCGTTGGCTCCGGCCCCTCCTCGTCCTGCAGCGTGGCACGCTTGTAGTTGGGCATCTGCTGAGGGAGGGAGCAGGCTGGGGCAGGGGCGTGGGGACTGCTCCCCGCCCTGCCACACCCTCTGGCTCTTATGGCAGGGCACAGTGCCTGCTCAGTGAGTACACAGCCGGGCTGAGGCAGCCCCTGACCCCCCGCAGTGTGCCTGGGCCTCCCCCAGAGGTTGCCCCCAGCCCTGCGTGGCCCTGGAGAGCACGGGGAGAGCTGCTAATGAAGGACCTGGGGGCCGTCACCGGAGCATCCCTTTGCACAGCCATGGCATCAGCCCTGCCGACAGGTGACACATCGCCACGGAGACATGGTCCCCGTCACCAAGCAACGGTTTCCTAGTGCTGCTGTCTCACCCCTCCTCCCCTGACTGGAACTTTCCATGCAGATGTGCACCGGTCTGAAACATCTGGAAGTGCTTCCAGCCCCATCATAGCTCCGGGGGTGACCAAGATGCAGGACAGAGCATGCAAGGGGAGAAGGGGCACTGCAGTGTGTACCAGCCAGCAGGGCAGGGTCCCCTTTACTCCTGGCTTTGCCAGGCAGCTTGCACAAATCCAGCCGTGAGGGCTGCTGAGGGCTCAGCCAAGAGGGAGATGGTGGAGTTGAGCCAGTAGCATTGGAGGGGGGGATATGCTAGAAGAAAATGCTGGAGGTTTTGGTGGAAGAGAATCAGCAATGCCACTGGTTGTGAGCTATCCTTAGGCGCCAGAGCTAATACCTGGGTGGGTTGCAGCTCACCCTCCAGTCTGTGCTGCAGACTAAAGTGAATGCCCAGCCTGCAGGGCTGCTGTTATGGGTCGGGAAGGAGCTGGGGTGCGATGGATGATGGGCAGGGGGGAAAGCAATGAGACTGCCTCATGCCCAGCTCTGCCCGCTGCCACACTGCTGGGATAGGGAGGGGGCATCGCCAAGGGCTGCAGCAGGAGGGTGGGATTGGCAGGAGATGGCAGGAGCCCCCGCTGAGTCAGGCTCCTGGAAGGTGCTGGCATTAGGAAGGATTGCTCAGCATCCTGAAGGAGCTTGGCCAGCCTGGCCCCCCCACCACCCCAGCTCTCCTCAACGTGCTCCTTTCTGCTCCTGGGTGGTCCTCATCCTGGGCAATAGCTAGCACCCCCTCTCCAGCATCTTCTGTGGCATCCTCAAGACAGGAGCCTATTGCTGGGGCTCCTCCTACCCCCTCTGTAGGGCTGAGACCCATGGGGACAGGGCCCTCTGCCCCCTCCAGAGGTGCTGTCTTGGGATTCACCCTATGAGCAGCATTACTGTGCTCGGTGGAGTGGGGTTTATGGGGTCATGCCTGAATGAACCACCCCAGTTCTCTGTCCAGCCCCAGGCAGGGATTTGGAGGGGGTCCTCCTTCCTCCACCGTGGGGCACAGGGACCCTCTGGCCGCTGAGTTCCCTTAGCCCCGGCACCACGCAGCCCCTGCATCCCATAGGCTCTCGCCGCCCCCCGTAATCCGCTTGTCCCCCCCGCCCTCCCTCCCTCCCTCTGGTTCCCGAAGCCCCCGCAGCCCTTGCAGCTGCTTGAGTTCTCCAGCCCCGGGGCTCTCCTGCGCCCCGACCCCCTCCTGTCCCCCCGCCGAGCCCCCCCCCGGGGTTCCCCGTCCCCCTCCTCTCGCCCTCCTCCCTGCCGGGCCGCTGCCCCGGGCACTCACGGCGTGTCCAAGCTCCTGTAGGGCCACGTTCATCCTGGCCATCCCGGGCCGCCTGCTGCCTAGCTCCGCTCCCCGCCCGGGCCGCGCCGGGCCCCCGCCGCCGCCGCAGCGCCGCCTGCCTCCGCCGCCGCCATGGCCCGCACCGGGCGCCGCGCTGCCGCCGAGACCGGCACCGGGGTCTCACAGGGATGGGGCCGGGCGGAGATGGGGCCGCGCCGGAGGGATGGAGCCGCAGGGGCTGAGACCGGCTGCGCACGGACCGCAGGCACCGGGCGGGGGCGACGGGGGCCGGCGGGCCGGGAGGGGCTGGAGCGGGGACCCCGGTGCCCAGCCCAGCGGCACCGCTCAGCTCCGCTCGGCCTGGCCGCCCAGCAGGGTGACCGCCGTGCGCACGGGAGGAGCTCCGCGCCGGTATCTGCACCGCCGCTTGCACCCCCGGAGAGCCGCAAAGGCACCCGCAGCCTCCCTCACCGGCACCGGCACCCGAACCCGCACCCTCACCGGCACGGGCAGCAGAACCCGGGCTCACATCTGGCTGCCCGCAGCGGGTACCGGCGCATGCACACAGGGACGCAAGGACCGACTCCGGTCGTGAGCGCTCAGGGGGGCACAGCAGCGCCGCACGGTACCGGTCACCGGCAGCGGCCGGTAATGGTGCGCAGCGGCGGCAGCACGCCGTGCTTCGACACGCGGGCTCACCCCTGCGCAGCACCCGCACAGCTGGATGGGTGCACACACGCACACGGACAGCCCGTCCCCGGCACCCCTACAGCTGGATGGATGTACACACGTACACCGACAGCCCGTCCCCGGTACCCAAAGGACGGCACCCCGATGGCAGCCTTAGGCCCGTGCCACAGCACACGCACCCAGGGGCGCACAGCCGTGCTCAGAGCCTTGGCAGTGGGCAAGGAGAAGGCCGGGGCTGTTCACAGCTTCACATCCTGCCTCGATAGTTCCTAGCGCTGTGTGACCGCCTGTCCGGGACAGGGCGGACCCGCAGGGCACCCGCTCCGTGCCCGGGGTGCCGCTGTTCCGGGGCTGGAAGCGCTCCCCGGGGTGCCAGGGGGACAGGGTGAAGGCAGCGCCACCTGCCCCGGCTGCGGAGCCGGGGACACAGCGTGGAGGGTGTGTGTGAACACAGGGGCTGGGCCACCAGGCTGTCCACGGGTGTCTGTGACATGTGGGGGCCGCCGCAAGCCTGCCAGCAATGCTATTGCACTGGCCCAGCTCGGGGGGCAGCGCTGCCCGTGGCAGGGTGGTGGAGCCCCGGGTCTGCAGCTGCCAGTGCAGCGGCCGGTGCCAGCGTCAGTGCCGGTGCTGCTGTTGGTGCCAGTGTTGGTGTCAATACCGGTGTGTCAGTGTTGCTGCCAGTGTTTGTGTCAATACCGGTGTGTCAGTGTCGGTACCAGTGTCAGGGTCAGTGCTGGTGCCAGTGCTGGCGCCAGTGCCGGTGTCAATACCGGTGTGTCAGTGTTGGTACCGGTGTTAGGGACAGTGCTGGTGCCAGTGTCGATGTCCGTGTCAGTGTCCGTGTAAGTATCGGTGTCGGTATCATTGTCAATGTCGGTACTGGTTTCAGCGTCAGTGCCGGTGTCATTGTCGGTGCTGGTACCGGTTTCAGTGTCAGTGTCGGTGCCGGTTTCAGTTTCGGTGCTGGTGTCAGTGTCGGTTTCAGTGTCGGCGCCGGTACCGTTTTCAGTGTCAGTGCCGGTACCGGTTTCAGTGTCAGTGTCGGTACTGGTTTCAGTGTCAGTGCCGGTGTCAGTGTCGGTACCGGTTTCAGTGTCAGTGTCGGTGTCGGTGCCAGTGTCGGTGCCGGTACCGGTATCAGTGTTCGTGTCGGTACCGGTGTCCCCGCACGTGGGTCCGCCCCGCCCTTGGCCCCGCCCCCGGCGCGCGGCGGTGCCGTCACGGCGTTGCGCAGGCGCGGTGCGGCGGAAGCACGACCGGGCGAACATGGACGCGGGCGGCGGCGGCGGGCAGAGCCGGGTGCAGGGCGGCCCCGGGGGGGGCGGCGACGAGAAGCCCACGCCGCCATGGGGCCGGGACCGCCGGGACCCGCCCTCTGGGCCCGAGAAGGAGCAGGAGCTGGTGAGTGCCGCCGAGCCGCGGGCCGCCGCTGAGTCACGGCCCGTTCGGGCCCGCGTCACCGGCGGGGCAGGACGTCATCCCGCGTCACGGGGCTGGCCGGCATCCCTCCGGGAACGGGACGTCATCCCGCGTCATGGCGGCGGCCAGCATCCCTCCGGGGACTCCCTCCAGCGCGGGCATGTGACGGCAGCGAGGGGTTCCCTCCGGCGGGGCCCCGGCACGTCATGGGGTGCCCGCGTGACGCCATTGAGGGCTCCCGTTCCCGGGCAGGGGGCGCGGGGGTCTCAGAGGAGCGCTGGTGAGGGAAGCCCTGGTGTAAGCACGCTGTGTGTGTGTGTGATACTGGGCACTGTGCAGGGATCCCCAGCACGGCGGTGACCTTGGCTCTGGGGGTCCCCGTGGGCTGGGGGACACAGTGAAGGGGCTGCTGTCAGTGCCCCAGCTGGGCTGTGACCTGACGTGCCCCTCTATGTGGGGTTGTTTTCATACAGCGCAGAGGAATAGGGGAGGTGCATCTCCCACCCCGGGAATGGGTGGTTTCTTAAGGAAGGTATCCCCAGTAATGTGAGCATTGCTCCACCCTGCCAGCACTGGGGCAGGGTGGTGCCCTGAGCAATGAGTGCATCACTTTGTCCTGGTACCCTGTGGCTTGGGGTGACATCCCTGCCGCTGTCACACTGAGACTACCTGTGCTCTGCACCGTTAACTCTGCTTTCTCCTGTGCATTTTGGCAGTCTGAGGAGGACAAGCAGCTGCAGGATGAGCTGGAGATGCTGGTGGAGCGCCTGGGGGTGAGTCTGTGCTGTGTCCCTCAGCAAGGAGTCCTGGCCAGGATTTGACTCTGTCTGTCTCTTGCTTGTGGCTGTTCCTCGTGCAGTGGAGATGGGGGCATTTTACCTTGAGTGGGATGGGCCCCTGCTTGTCTGCTGTGATCTGTCCCCCCAGCCTTGTTGCCTTTCTGACCTGTGCCCAAGGGACCTCTGTGTTCCTGATGAGAGAGAAGCTTTCTACCCTGCTGTGCCCTCCTTCTCCAGCTCTTGGGCTAAAGGAGGCAGCCCAGGGTGGGGGCTGTTCTGCTAAGAGCCATGGCTGTGTTTGAGGAGGGCTGGTGAGGTGGTAGCTCAGGAACCGGCCCCTGACAGGCAGCTTCCCTCTGCAGGAGAAAGACACGTCACTTTACCGTCCAGCCCTGGAGGAGCTGCGGAGGCAGATCCGCTCTTCCACCACCTCCATGACCTCTGTTCCCAAACCCCTCAAGTTCCTACGGCCCCATTATGGCAAGCTGAAGGAGATCTATGAGAACATGGCTCCAGGAGAGAACAAGGTAGAAACTCTTGGCCGCACCATCCCATGTGATTGAGGGGACAGTGCTGGGGCAGGCAGAGCCCTCTGGACCCTGGGATCTAACAGCACTCTCTGTGACTTGCTCCAGAGGGTTATAACTTGTCAGGACGGTACCTTTGCCACCTGTGGTGGTTTTCAGGCACAGGGAGGGTGTGGTGTCCATGGCTGCCCCTGGTTCCTTGTGCCTGGCCTGTGTCTGGAGCTCTGCACTCTTTCTGCAGCGCTTTGCAGCAGATATCATTTCTGTCCTGGCCATGACCATGAGTGGGGAGCGGGAGTGTCTCAAGTACCGGCTGGTGGGCTCCCAAGAGGAGCTGGCATCCTGGGGGCATGAATACGTCAGGTAAGCCTCAGGGGGACCAGAGGGGAAGGATAAGGGCTCAGGGGAATTTCCTGGGGTGCTTTAGCTCTGGCCTGGCTGGGATGTGTCTTGACTAGCTGATCATGTGTTCAGCTGCCGCTATCACACCTGCACATGTGTCACTTCATGCTCTATTCATGATGGTTTTCGAGCTGCAGAGATCTTGCTTCTGTGGCCTCTGAAATCTCTGGTCTTAACCCTGTTTCTCCTCTGGCCTTGTCCCCCATAAAGTCTGCAGAATGCAGAGCCTCCATAAACAGTACATAATCCTGGCTAACTGGGAGCAGCTGCTCCCTGTTCTCACGGCTCAGTGAAACTGATTTTTGTAGTGGTGACATCCCTTTGTTCCTGCAGGCACTTGGCCGGAGAGGTGGCCAAGGAGTGGCAGGAGATTGATGAAGCTGACAAGGCTCAGAGGGACACACTCCTCACCCTGGTCAAGGAGATTGTCCCCTACAACATGGCCCACAACGCAGAGCACGAGGCCTGTGACCTGCTCATGGAGATAGAGCAGATGGACATGCTGGAGAAGTACATTGATGACAATGCCTACTCCAAAGTGTGCCTCTATCTGACAAGGTGAGGGGGCTTGGCAGCCTGAGGTGCTGGACAGGGCCTGATCCCTGTTGGGCCAAGCTGCCTGATCTGGTTGTCACCCTCATGTCTGTCTCCTCCTTAAGCTGTGTGAGCTACGTCCCAGAGCCTGAGAACTCGGCTCTCTTGCGCTGTGCCCTGGGCATCTTCCGCAAATTCAATCGCTACCCGGAAGCCCTGCGCCTGGCTCTGATGCTCAATGATGTGGAGCTGGTGGAGGACATCTTCACTTCCTGCAAAGATGTGTAAGCAGAGATGTTCCCTGCCCTCTGCAGCCTTTGCTCATCCTGGTGGGGCAAGGCTCCCCATTTGGGCAGAGATAGGTTGGATCTGTCACTGTTAAAGGTGTCTGGGGGTTTGGATTGAGACTCTTGTCCCTGAAATGAGGATGGGCAGGAGTGGGTCATGTCTGTATGCCCTGGGCAGGGCAGGTTGGCTCACTGCTTGGTGAACCTGTGTTTGTGCTGGGGCTTGCTGGGTTCTGGGCACTCAGGAAACCCCTCCCCTCTGCACAGAGTTGTCCAGAAGCAGATGGCCTTTATGCTGGGCCGCCATGGGGTCTTCCTGGAGCTGAACGAGGATGTGGAGGAGTATGAGGACTTAACAGAGATCATGTCCAATGTCCAGCTCAACAGCAATTTCTTGGCCTTAGCCAGAGAGGTGAGTGTCCCAGCCTGGAAAAGCACCCTGGGCTACCTCCAGCTGTGGCTGCCTGGCTGCCAGGCTCTGTGGCAAGATTTGAGAAGAAATCCATCATCCCTGTGATTTGGGCTCCTCTTGGAGAGGTTGCCATTGTAGGATGTGCTGGCCGGGTGGTAACCTCCTTCTCCCTTGTCTTTGCAGCTGGACATCATGGAGCCCAAAGTGCCAGATGATATTTATAAAACCCACCTGGAGAATAACCGTAAGGGCTTGTGTTGTGGTTTTTATCATCCCTGCCTGTGTGGAGTTCTTGAGGCTGCCAAGCACCTCTGAGCCTGTGTGGTCAGATGTGTATCTGAGGGGGTGGATGGCCTGCCCATGGTCTCTGGCCTGTGGATCTGGGCTTCTCTTTCCTGCTGGTGATGGAGACGGGTCCTCGTTCCTATGATGTGGGATGGCTGCATGTTGAGGGCTGGCAGGGCTTCTGTTGCTGCTTTCCTCACCCTGTCATTGTTCCACAGGGTTTGGGGGAAGTGGTTCCCAAGTGGACTCAGCCCGGATGAATTTGGCCTCCTCCTTTGTGAACGGCTTTGTGAATGCTGCCTTTGGACAGGACAAGCTGCTGACAGATGATGGCAATAAATGGTTGTACAAGAACAAGGACCATGGTGAGTTAGCAGGCTGGGCAGGGCTGGAGGTGCCTCTAGGCTTGGGGTTACCACCCTGTCCCTTTTGGGGTAAGGGTGGCTGAGCTGGCCTATGTCCCTGGCTCTACCGCAAGCCCCACACAGGGCACATCAGTTCAGGCCTGATGAGGGCCTTTCTTCCCTGGAACCACAGGGATGCTGAGTGCTGCAGCCTCGCTGGGCACAATCCTGCTGTGGGACGTGGACGGGGGGCTCACACAGATCGACAAGTACCTGTACTCCTCAGAGGATTACATCAAGGTCAGTGACAGATCCTGGCTCTGTGTCTGCGTGGGGCAGTCCTGCTGTGAGCTGGGTGTGCACCTGGCTGGGAAATGGTCCTTGCTTTGGTCCTCTGTGCAGCTCAGCTCCTGCACAGAGAACGATTGGATGCCCTGTGTCCCAGGCTTTTGAGCAGCTCACAGTGAGGTGCTGGTCTCTTGGGGACTGTCTGAAGCATCCTGGGGGCTCCCCTTGTCACACAGCTATGAGCTTTGGAATTCTCACCTTGATCCAGGGTGGCATTGCCCACTTCATACCAACTTGGCCATCCTGGGGGAGGGGTGTGATGTGTGAGGTGACATCAGTCACTGGCTGGCAGGGAGCTTTGTGTTGGTGGCCAGTGTGTGACAATGCTTCTGCCTTGCAGTCTGGAGCCCTCCTGGCCTGTGGCATCGTCAACTCAGGGGTGAAAAATGAGTGTGACCCTGCCCTGGCCCTCCTGTCTGACTATGTCCTCCACAACAGCAACACCATGAGGATTGGAGCCATTTTTGGGTAAGGGCCTGGCCCCAGCCTCCCCGTGCTGCACAGGGTGGTGCAGCTCCTCCCTCACACCCCTGTGCACTCTCTGCAGGCTGGGACTGGCTTATGCAGGCTCCAACCGCGAGGATGTCCTGACTTTGCTGCTGCCTGTCATGGGAGACTCCAAGTCCAGCATGGAGGTAGGGCATGAGGCAGGGTTTGCCTGTGATTCCTGCTTCTCCATCCCGTGCCCCAGAGCTCCTGAGAATACAGGCACTGTCCTGCAGCCAGCTTGAGCTCCAAGAGCAAGGCCACATGTCCCTGCTCAGCACTGACCCTATTTTCCTTATCTGAGCTGCTGCCACAATGGGATTACAGCAGATTTAGGAGGGTAGGAAACCATCAGGTCTTGCAGTAGCCCAGATTTTCATAGAAAGTGGAGGCCAAGGGTACCTAGTGCTATAGGCCAGCTTACTCTGAGCTGTCCCTGTGTATG